TTCTGGATAGATGGAAAACTATAGAAATTTCGAAAAACTATGTCCTTTGACAAAGACTTTCTAGATAACAATATTTGGCTTTTATATTTTATTGGTTTGTGTTTCAAACTTGTACTTTTGGTTAGTTCTTTATAATTACAAATCTTAAAAACCTAAATGAATACTGTGTTCGTTTCAATTTTTCCCCCATTTAAAGTGAATCTAACAATCTTTTATCTTTATTTCCTTTTTATTCAAAGGAAAAGGGATAACTCCAAAAATAATGTGATTCAAATCAACTATACAAAAAGAAAAAGAAAAACTACAAAACGCAGACCGTAATCTCTTTATCAAGAGATTGATTGATGTATATTAAATTAACAATTTTTGTTATTCTTTCAAAGATCACCACCGCATGCCATTGAAACCTTACTCAAAACAAACAAGCGTTGGTGCATTGAATGGCGTTTTACATGTACTTTAATAGAGATAGTTCATCTTTTGATTGTAAGACATTTTAAGGCGAAGTACTTACTTAGGCGGAAGTTCGGATTTTTATGAAATTTTGTATGCATTTAGAACTCGTTAAGGTGCATCTGAATGTGGGATAAGTCAGGCATTTAAAATGTATACATCCAGAGACAAATAATAATTAAAGTATTCGTTTTAAAGTAATGACAATTATAGGAGTTACCGGATTCGTATTTGCTGTCTAGATCATTTAAGTTTGATAGGTCTTTGAATAAACATGAAAACTACAATTTTACAGCGACTGGGTCGAAAGCTCTGTTGGTGAACAGTTAGTCTCCAATGGTATTCCCAACCCAGTATCTCGGTAATTCGGTACTGGCATGATAATACTGATATTGTTTAGTTATAACTTGCTGTTGTAAAACTAGGGAACTATTTGATATTAAGGAATGCGTCTCCCTCATGCATAGCTCTGATTCCTCAATGTCCGGATTTGGCAATACATTAGGTCCATTTTTTATTATATCAGCTCTTCAACGTCTCTGTTGCGGTTTGAGTTTTAACTATTTTGTATCGAGCATAACTGAAGAGACATGACTTGTCGAAATGCGCATTTTGTGCAGTAAAATTGGTACCGTTTAATGTATTACTACTACTGGGTCGATACCTCTGCTGGTGGACTGTTAGTCCCCGAGGATATTACAATTCCTGTAGCTCAGTATTTCGGTAATGGCACGGATATTGTTTAATTGAAATTTACTGTTGTTAAAATAAGAAATTATTTGAAATGAAGGAATTTGTCTCCCTCATGCATTGCTCTGATTTCTTGTCCGGTTTCGGCAATACTGATTGGTCCTTTTCGATTATATCAGCTCTTCAACATTTTATAAGGTTTGGGTTTCAACTATTTTGACCTCGAGCATCACTGAACAGACATCTTGTGCAATGAAATTGGTACCGTTTTATGTGTTTAAGTGAAAAATGCATTTGTTCGCCCCTTCTAATGTACTTTCTATTTTCTATACATGCATATATCTTTTTGGATAAATTTGATGTTGATGTATTTGATAGTGTAACATTATTTTCCGATATATTAGATGTAGTTTTACGAGTTTAATGCATACAAAATTCATAAACATCATAAATACCACCAAATTACGTATAAACATCGGCTTATTATGAATTAAAAGACCAGAATAGCTTAGTAGATAAAACGCGTGGCAGAAATTAGATTGTTTATAAGAAACTTGACACTTTTACAAATAATTCTTTCATTATTACCTTTGACTATGGCCAAAGTTGTTAATCCTCGTTTACAAGGAATGTAGCGATAGAAAGGAATACTCGATATACAAGTTAGCACCTCGTCTTTAAAATTCAAATCTTATTTGATCAACTATAACAACAAAAATAGAGCTAAGTGTAATCCAACTTGGGTTTATCTTAATCTGCTAAAATAGTAGCACACTCATTAATCCTATTTGATGGTTATTCTTCTATGATGAGATTAAACTTAACATACTAAGTAATTTTGAAAAATAAAGTGTATACAGTATTGAAAGTTTGACTAGTTTAAACACGACTTTGTTTTCCTGTAATGCATACGTGTCTAGTTATCAGCACGTGTTGAGTTAGAATATCTCTTTTAAGCTTCGCCATCTTTTTAGTGCAGACAGTTTCCCTGCTTGACTTCATGCACTTCACCAATGAAAACTGATCGTGCGTCCAAGTATGTTTAAAATAGGACTTAAAAGATCCTTGGTCCACCAGAATATTCCAATACATTCATTTACAATTATCATAATATAAAAAGAACTAGAAATGAACTCAAAAAAGGATACAAGATTGTATGCTTAATTTTCTATATTTCAATTTTCCGAGCTTGGTAAGCCCAATGCCTAAAGAATTAAGTACTTGTATTATATAAAGCGAAATTATCAGCTATCCATTTTGAGAAACCAGTTGTTCTTGTTTTATTTATAGTTTTATGCTTTTTAAACATAAATATTTTTTATATTGTTATAACTTTGCTGTATTTTTTAAAAATTTCATACATATTTTTATAGCCAGTCAATGTCGTTAAAAACTCCCATCATTATCATATTTTTATTATACTAACGCGATAAAAGTCTAATAATGCCTAATAAAGACCCCACTACATATATTGCATATCGATGTTTACCTGCATACATTATATTCTGTCTGTGTGTAAAATTATATCGCACAGGTTGCATTCTTGCCTTTAATTTACATTCAGTAATGATATTCTCAGGCAGAAATGCTAATTGATTGACCGATAATAAACTGTGACATATTTTACCCCGAGTAATTTGCTGCATTTACCCATTGTTTTAATTGAATTACATAATTAATATTATAAGCATGCATTATGGCCTTCACACCTTGATTAATATATCATATTGTTAATTGCAATTTTCTGTCTGAATTTTAATTGCTATCAAAATGTATACAACACTTGAATTACTACAAACTTATTTTCCATGATGACAGCGCTCCCTCACACACACACACACACATAAATTTAAAATTAATTTGCATTTCGCGCCATTCTATCTTATTTTTTCTATAAAATGTACGAAATGCTTTTTCTAATCATTTAAAATATTGCTGATATTCAGAGACCTCGGATTCAACTGTTGCTTTATACATCCAGAATACCCCTTCGGTCGTCTGGATGAACCGTGCGTGTTAAAATATACATAACGAGACAATATTATAATCTTGGATACTAACACAATTTAAAAAAAAAATCAAAAGAATAACAGGAACAAACGTATTGGACGGACTACATTAGCCACCAGAATCGACTCAAAAATAAACCAACATTACAAGACACAAGTATTCTCCATTCCAAACTAAAAGACAAATTGAAAAATTGGTCCTAACCACAATCCCGCCCTTCTTTTCCCCGAATGTGACCTTCCGAATTAGACTTATCACGGAGTGTGTACTTACATGAACAACAAGACGGGTGCAACATATAGAGCAGATTCTGTTTACCCCTCCGGAGCACCCGAAATGAGTTTGTGTTGCTCAGTCTTGAGTTTTCTATGTTGTGTTTTGTATACTGTTGTTTGTCTTTTGTTTTTTTCTTGTATTGCCATGGCGTTGTCGTTTATTTTCGACTTACGAGTTTGAATGTCCCTTTGGTTTCTTTTGCTTCTCTTTTACAACAAAGCCTGTCAATAAAACCTTTTACAACAAAGCCTGTCAATAAAACCTTTTACAACAAAGCCTGTCAATAAAACCTTTTACAACAAAGCCTGCCGATAAAACCTTTTACAACAAAGCCTGTCAATAAAAACTTTTTGCTACACTTTTATCATCCATAGTTCTGAATTTTATCAAACCTTTATATCAGGGTTTAAATTCAGAACAGTTTAAATCACTCCTGGTTTTGCTAGAGATCATGGAAATTGTATTTGTCAGAACCTTTTTTGTAATTTCCGTTTTATATGAACTTGATTAATGATTAGCTTTTGATGAGTGCGAGTTTCTTTCGATTGATCAACTGTTGGCATGGTGTCTCTCCTTAGAAAATGGTTCACTATGTACTTTTTATGGATTAAATTTTTAAAAAATGGGCGTTCAATATAAATTGTTTTTAGTGCATTACACTATTATACATACTGTAAGAACAATATAATCATTATACTTATTACATAACAAAGGGGTTGAACGAAACTATTTAGGTGTAATTTGAAAATTGATATACAATAGAGAAATTATCTAATTTTCTAAATCTTTTAAAATCAACTTTTCTTTTCAATGAATTTTAATTTGAATCTTTTCATCAATTAAATACATTTTTAAAATACATTGTAGACAAAATGCGATTAGAATCTACAACAAAAACATCAAACATAAAAATTTGCAGATAATCCAATAAATTTGATAATTCTGATTAAATTTTAACATGTGATACGAAAATGTGTACAATAAAATTACTAATTATAGTATTGTGTTAAGGCTTGGGGGAACAGATGATAGCTTGGTATTATCAGTCAAACTTAATCCCAACTGAGAAAACATTCCTATAATTGTAAATAATTATTATGCAGTTTCGATAATTAATGAATAGCATGGTATTTAGCAAAAACAACACGTCTCGGGTGACTGATGACAGCCAACTTGTCCTCGCAGGGTGAACAATAGATAGATTAACACCCCTCTCATTAGGGACTAATAGAAAATACATATGTGTCAAATTCACCTAAACGGTGTTTATAAAAGTGATCAGATTAATTAGTCCCGGTATATATACCCGATTTGACATAGTTCACTCACATTCCAAATTGGTATATGAAAAGCTACACACTAAAGTAAGAGAATTGAAAAAAATGTTGGGAAATCAGAAACCACAGAGAATGGCGTTTACCATTGAGAATCTGGCAAAAAGCAGCCGAGATGAGAGTTTTCCAGAAGTACCGTTAACCTTTCCAAACTTGCCGCCAATTGGTTTTGCACCACGACTTCATCTTCTGGATAACTGCACTCCAATCAAGTTGCAAGCAACTGTTATTCCATCCATGAGCACACCAAAGACTAATTCCAAGAGAAAACGGAACCATTCTGAAGTCTCAGATACAGAAAGTACCACTTCAAGCAGATCTAAATCAACAAGTGAAGAGAGTTCTGAATCATTTAGTGCATCTATTTCTGGTATGTATCACAACATTTTCATTGTTATAAAAAAAACCCAGTTAGTTTCACTTGAAAATTCATTTTTTCAAAAGTACACTACAATTGTCCGTATGTGCAAGCCTCAAAGTAGGAATCTGCACATGGAATTTAAAATATTTGTAATTGGCAGATTACTTGTTATAAAAACATAATTTTATTATATAGAAAATGTGTGTGGTTGTTTGAGAATAACACCATCATGTTTAAATCAATTTGAAACATTGATAAAGCACACAAGAACCATCGCCATAAAATGACATATACTTTATTATAAAATGGGGGCTTTAGACAGTCAAATATGAACAGAGTATTTTTCACCTTGTAACATACGCCTATTTGACATTATTTACCTGCGAGTTTTAATATACATTGTACAATTGAAATTCTCACGTGCTAAGTCTGAAAATATCATCAAAGGAGAAAATAAGTGAAATGATGTAAGATTGAAATAGACTTGTAACGCAAAATTTGCATTATAATCTGGGAAGTAGTTATCCGGTTGAAGAGAACATATTATTGCATATGTTATTTACTGCAAACCAATGAAACACAATGTAAAATGATTTATACACTACTAAAAGCCACATCAGTAAACTCAACTAAAATTATTTTAATGTCATTGCTTTTTGTAGATTCTGAAGATGGATCGGACACATCTGGAAGGAGAAAGAAAGCTCGTACAGCCTTCACAACAGAGCAAATTTGTGATTTGGAAAAGAGATACCATACACAGAAGTACCTTCCAGCCAACGAGCGCAGTGTTCTTGCTGAAAAGCTTAAACTTTCAGATCAACAAGTAAGTAGCTTCAAGAATAGTTTATTTGTAGCGCAATTTTATTCATATTGAATTGGATCGGACAATAGACTTAGCCTATATCAGCCGTGCCCTCTCCATGCGCTTCATGTATCAGATCTTGTTTTGTACGGTTTAAAAAATGTAATCGAGACATGTATATAAATATCGAATGACTTATTTACTAAGATATATGATGTTTGTATATTATTCAATTACTAGTATCACTGTCTAGACGAACAAAACGAAACAAACAATTAGTATTGTTTGTAGCAATTAAAATAAGCGATCAATTAAGATCGAATAAGATTTAGATTTAGATTTTTAAAAAACGTCACAGATTCAATTTTTGTATTTTATGATATCTTTGTACATAGTATTTATTATTGTTTTCTGTTTTAGGTAAAAACCTGGTTTCAAAACAGGCGAATGAAGGAAAAGCGGCAACAAAGAGATGACGACCAGTCAAGATCATTTTTGTTACCAACAGGTGGCGTCGACATTGCTCAACTTGTTGCTATGGGAATGCCATGTCCTCCTCCACACAACATCAGCGGAACAAATATGTTACAACTTCCAGGTTTTATTGGAGCACCACACATGATATCGCCACATCAGATGTCCACCTTCTCAGCTCGTAAATCACCGTCTGCCATTGGTCCAGGATACTACAACTCTCCATACAGTACCAAATTCGACAGAAGTTCTTCACAACTTGGACATCATTCGTTTTGATTTTTTCTGTATCTCATGTGAACTATAGTGCTATTCGTTAAGGTTTCCAAAGTGCCAAATATTGTAATTTGAACATTGTTATTGTATTTAATGTCGTGGGAAGATAAATAAAAGAAATATAAATATTGTATATTCTTCTTTCTTATAATGTAATATTCCAGTTTGCGTCCGTTTGCTCGTCCATCCCGGAGCAAATTTTTTTTTTGTTCAAGGTAGTTTATCATGAATTTAAGGAACACATATTTGTAAATTTTAGTTAACATGTTATTTATGACGTGAGTGATTTAAAATACCGAACTCCAAGGTAAATTAAAAAAGAGGGAAGTCAATAAAAACTGACAAAATAAAACGTTATCAACCAACGGAATGAGTGAAAAACAACAGTTATGTTCCTGACTTGGTTAAACCTGGTTTTACAGCTCATTAAACCTCCCACTTGTTTGACAGTTGTATATACAAATGTAGTCTCGCTATACCGACAAAATTTGGTGAGCAACTCATATAGACACAATAAGCCGTTGCGACAACAACTGGGATCCAGCATCCAAAACCTTGTAAAAATACATCTGTCATACAACACTGACTAAAAAAGGTAAAAAAAGGTAACAACTAATCCAACAAAGACGCCAACAAAAACGCTGCTTTAGTTGATAGCAAATTTGACAAAGACCCCAACAAAACAGTTTGTGTAGCTGGTGATATATTGACAAAGACGTCGATAAAAAAGTTTTTGTATTTGATAGTACATACCATATCATAGTATACACTTGATAAAGTTCAAACCAAGTAAAACACAAATACAATGTAAACAAAATGGAAACTCCACTGTAAAAACCTCATGTGTCCTAATCGCATATCAGGACCCACATGCACCAGGAATGCGAAAAGTCAAAGTCAACTACCGAGTCACGTCAAAAGTCATAGTCAACTACCGAGTCACGTCAAAAGTCAAAGTCAACTACCGAGTCACGTCAAAAGTCAAAGTCAACTACCGAGTCACGTCAAAAGTCATACGACCAAAAGAAACACAATAGCACGAAGACAAATAATAGGAAAACTCACGAGGTTGTGGTCACATCAACTGGAAACTTAGTTCATATGGTTCTCTCCGGGCACTACGGCTTCCTCCACCAATAAAAACTGGTCGCCGCGAAATAGCACAATAGTGTTGAAAGTGGCATTAAACACCAAACAATTAATCAATCACTATGATGTGATACTTTGATTTTTTAAAATATATGCCAAATTAGGATTTTAACTCAGATTTCACAGAAATAAAAAAAAATGTTGTGAGGCCATTGGCAATGAGGCAACTGCCTCGCCAACTTTTTTATCAAGAAAAAAGGAAGAAGAAATGTGCTATTTATATTTCGTAGATTAGGATAGTTCTAAACATTTGACTACTCTTAGTTAGTTTGATTTTATCAACATAGATATAACTATCCTGTTTTAGCAAGGAAAAAGTCTTTAATAATACATACCAAACAACAATTCTGTTAAACTGGCATCACTTAGATGCTAGTATTTATTGACAACATATATGTTACTTTTGGTGAGCGTGTTATGTAACAGAAAGTAAGCATTCCTAATGGAACATCTGTGCTCCTATTCCCATCCACTCATTCTTTTATTCGTATGATGCACGCTTGATACAATTGAATTTTTATAAATCATACAGAGGCTTTACGAAAAGACTGGTAAAGAAGCTAGCATTAGTCTTCACGTTCCCCTATGTATCTGTTATCTCACTGAATAACTGAATTTTAATGACAATGTTGAGAGTATCTGTATTTTTTAACTTGAATTAAAGGATACCACATATACAGTCGGATCTGCATAACACCTTAACTTGCATTAATTGAAGAAATTCGACAAGAAGAGAAGATTAAACGTTTCCTTTTGTAATCCTTTCGTTTTTAGATTAAACAAATTTGTAGGCACCTGAATATAGAGGATATACCTCCCAGTTGAAACAATAATCCACAGCTTGTTTTTCTTATAATGATTATCGTCATAAAAAATTGCTGCTTCCAGTGAAGCTGCTGAACCAATGGTTCTTAATGATAAAGTTGTAGTCATCAATTTTTTTTTACTTGCGACATCATAATTTGATTATTTATGTCACATATGGTCAATAATGTTTAAATTGTCGTGGCCAAACTCTGTCTTCTTTCCAAAATGTATGACATCACCGAATCATACTTGTAAACTAGATTTAATTTTATTATTACATTGAGCAAAATGATGGCTTTTACTAGTTGAGCGAGGACTGCTTACCCAACCGAAGCATCTGCTTGGATTCCGTTTTTTTTTGTGTGGTTCATGTTGCTGAATAATTTTTGTTGTAATGTTTCTTCTTCTTCGACGTCCGTCATACCGTGGGGTGCATGACGTTTGCAGGGCTATGGGACATGTCCTTATACAAAGGCATATATTTATTGTCAGAATGCGACATTAAATCCAATGCATCGTATTGGGAGTGGGATAAACTATCTGTAAGCTAAAGAACCCTTGCGACAGCTCATCGGCGTGTGCCTATAGTTTGCATGTTGCAGGACAGTATTACTGCCACTATCTACCATGTCCTCTTTTCTTTGGCAGTCGAATTTACCCAGGTCAACATTTTTTTCTAGAATCACCTCCTGCTCGATGTTTTGTTGATTTGTTCTAGTCCTTAATATGCATGAAATATTTGCCACTGAACGTCAAGAAAGCATACAAAAAATCATCTTTTTGCGTCTGATAATTCTTTTTAGACACGATATCTGCCCTTGAATCATCCCCTCCTAAGCAGCATTGCGGTCCTTGATTTCCTTTGTCGTACTAGAAATAAGGGTCAAGCTACGCCACTATGATCAATCGATTCGAATTAAGGTATACTCGAAAGTACATTGTCATAGTCGAGCATAATCTTATTCCACCTCGTTTTTTCCCCGACGACATGTACGAACTTGGAGCTGCACTGAAATTGGAACAACTTGTCTCTTCATAGATACAATATTTACTTCTAGAATGCCTGTATTTGGATAATGTTCAGACTGCATTTAATTTCATATGTTGGAGTCTGTAAATTGATTTTGCTTTGACGTAAATGTTGCTTCGATGGTGCAATGAATATAATATTGCAGTATAAAAGAGGATGAATTTTTAATGAGAAAACAACAGATATGTTAGTAGTATTATTGATTACAGGGTCAACAAATTTCGGAAAATACATAAATATAAAATATAACCCAATTACGGCCAGCAAACTTTCTTGATCAATATTTGACAAGGTAATAATAAACAATTCAAGACTAGACTTTGAATATCCCTTTGGTATCTTTCGCCTCTCTTCTGTGACAACACATTCACTGTTTACTATTCGAAATCATTAATTTGCCTTGATAATTTTCATGCAGCGTGATATTTTGAGTTTAATTTAAAAGAAAAAGTCAATAAATCTCAAATATAGATTGGGTTTTTAAAAACAGTTGTAAAATAATATTAAAGTTTTAAAACTGATTAAATGTGTCATAAAGTTAAATTGAGCAACGATGACTGACGTATCAATTTTAATATGATTTAATTCGGGCACCTGTGTTTCTAAACAAGGACGCACTGTGATGTGATCGGTTTATTGGTGAAATTAGCGATCCTGGAGGGCTATATAAAGCACGGAACAATAATATATATTGATATAAGTAAAGGATTGTATCAGGGTAAGGCAGAAGAAATTTTACGATAAAGACGCTCTACCGATTTCTACAGTACTTTAATTGTAACCATTTGAACCGCTAACAATGAAGACGTTAGTAGGGAGGAACATTTAGATTTACTGTTACTGTTGCTAGTAGACTGTAAATCAACAACGACGTAGTGAAATAGCAACGGTTTCATCATAGTATGTATTTGAATAATGTGAACTTTTAGTTAGTTACATAAGGAATTTTTAAGTGCTTAGACCCCATGAGCCCGTGAGACATCAATAAAAATTCAGGATATAACATTTATGGTTGATAAATTGGATTGTTTTATTGAAAATTATATTGAGGACTCGTGACACATTTGTGATAATCTTTAAAAGTTGTACTTTTACAATTTTAATTATATAAACATTTAGAGATATAAAACTCTTGACCTTAGGAATAAAGTGATAAAATCTGAAGACGGATTGAATGGTGATGGCTTCAAACCAAGTTCTATCCCCTATGCCAGCTATGTCTAACGAAAATTATTCAGACAGCTCAGAAAATATAGTCTACCTTTCACCAACAAAATTCAAAATGCGACTTTTAAAACGTCTAGTGTCTGTGGAATCCAATAAACAGGATTTAAAGACAGCATCAATATTCAAAAGAACACAAAGTGAAAACGGACTTCAAGCTTCTATTGTATTACCAAACGGTGAAATAGGAACAATTTATTCATTAGATAAAACAAAAAAGCAATTGTCAAGACAGAGCTCGCAAAATGATGATATCGGATCTAATGTGCTTTCGAGTAAATCAGTTTTACCAGTCTTGTCACAAGAGAACGGTATGGAGAAAGACGACTCCGATGCTTTTGGACTTCAGAGCCCAGAACCAAAGTTTTACAGAAGACCGCTAAAACTTCCACCAATCATGCTGCCGTCTGTCTATAGTACTAAAACATATCCTCTGGGCAAACCAGACCTCTCGTATAGACCCCCTCCAGCACCGATTACCGACGAAGAATGGGAAGAATTAAAAGATTGTAGATATTTACGACCAGCACCTAAAAGATTCAGAGACAGAGAAATTTCAAACCGCTCTTATCATGCTTATTAAACTTTCACATTTGGTCCGATATTGCTTATTTTAACAGTATCAAAATAAAACTGATTTACGAGAAATAAGTCATAAAAATGACAGCAGGCCGCGCAAAGTTTATTGTTAATATTTTGTGTTTATGTGTCGATATCAATTAGCTGCATTGTCGGGCATCTGAAATGACCAAAGGTTTTAATATTTAACGAGATTTGATGGTGTTTAATTGAAAGGACAAATATAACAAAGAAATAATTACCAGACTTACGAATGAATGTAAATATTTAGTAGGTATAATCAATTTTAGATGACGACAT